GGGTGTGCAACACTTAAACCATCAGTGTTTTCAAAGGCGCACACCTCATTGCGCATCATACGCCTTACGATGCAGGACGGTGGCAAAGCGCCCCACATCTGATGCAGCAGCGCCTTATGCGTATCGTGTACATCTTTACTTTATGCAGGGTGCATGTAGTATACATCCTCATGTAGTTTTGTTTGTTAACATTTCAATCGAGTCTTTATACTTGATATTCCATATCCCAAGAAGCAAATTTTATCCATTAGGTCTTTTTCATAGCCTTCAATTGAGGACCATTACTAATCCTTTGCTTGGATATTAGTCTTGATAAAACATTTAATTTGAAAATTTATGAATTTTGCTACTATGTTGGGTATTAGTATTGGAAATTAAGGCATTATATTGTGATTTTGTAGTAAGATATTATTTATCATGATATTTTTCATGTAAATTCTAAAAATATGTTCTTTTACGCTTGATTACATATATTGAAAATTTATGTGTGCGGTGTGCGCCTCCGCATCACTCTGGCGCGCGCATTGCGTTGCGCCTTGCGCATGTGCTGAGATAAAAGGCCTAATGGATATTATACTAAAATTGGCATCAAAGTGATATGGGTTTGAAACTTTAGGGTATCGAAGTGCTGAGATACTTTATGGTATTATACTATCATAGTGATAAAATTTCTAACTTTCGGACTCGAAGTGAATCTAAGCCATATATATACGTAAAGATGAAAGGTTGCTTTAAAAAGATTGTGACTACTGCAATTGTTCATTTTTGATATGGTCATTATAAACATATTTATAATTTAGTCTTGCCTTTTAAAATCTTTAGGCCTTAGCGAACAAGGTTGCATATGATGAGTGGATTATGTCTCGCGAGTCAAGTGCTCAGATTGATAGAGACACAATGAAACCGAAGTATACCAGGTGCTATCGATCTGGGACTGCAGATAAACTGATTTGATTACATATTTTTCTTCGGTATGTTACTTTTAACCTTTTATGCTTATGAGCATTATACCATTATAATGCATCTTTTATATTAGTTGTGTTTTATCCAGAGAATGCACTATCATGCCTTGATGTGTCCAAGTTGTTTAGAAATGAGCCTATCCCATCTTGGACGGTCGCGTCCGACCACCGGGGGAGGGCTTCCTTTTTTCGTGTTATATCCGGTTTGCTATTTAATTTAATATTGGACTAGAAAGTTGATTGTTACTATTTAGGATTTTTTGCATATATATCCTCCAAATCATCCATATTTGCAATTTTACGTCCAAATTTAGATATTTGCAAAATTATACCCCCCCAAAAAAAATTCTTTCACATTGAATGAGAATACCCCTCATCTAACACTGCTTGGATATTATTTGCTACATTAATATTTATGATATGCAATGACTAAACTACCCCCAAACTCATTTCCTTCATCATGAGTCATGACCATAAGATATGAAGATGATGCATACAATTATAGTAAAAGTTTCAATTTTACAGGAAGCTTAGTCAGCTAGTCAAGTTTCTAATGAATTGTGAAAAGAAAAATTGAAAATGGGGTGAGGTGGTGAGATGGTATCAAACAACTAGAATGATTTTGATATATATACCCATTGTTATCGAGGCGCGCGCCTCAGGCGCGCTCCGGGTGCGGGGCGCTGCACGCATACGAGGCGCGCGCCTCGTGTGCGCTCGACACCTGCATCATGTAATAGACTCTTTCTTCTGTTTTTTAATAATTTACATATTACATATCCTAAAAAGAAAAGTAAACCCTTAGGCATTTTTAGTAGCATGATTGAGGGCGCTAACCTATTCTCATTTACTATTTGATTTTGCTTCGATATTATTTTTAATTTGACTTTTGATTTGGAAAATTGTGAACTTCGTTACTACGTTGGATGTGTTAGCATTGTGAGTTAAAACCTTATTTTATGATTTGCTAGTAGTAGATATTATTTATCTTGACATATTTTTTTGTTAAAATTAATAAACATATACTTTCTTGCTTGATTTATATCTTGAGAAATTGTGTGTGTAATATGCACCTTGCTTCATTCGGTGCACACATCATATTACCCATTATACATGTGCGTGTAAAGGTACTTTGTGCCTCGCATTGCGCCTTGTGCATTGATAGCACTCGGACAACCTATGCATTGTCTAATTTTTTAGCCATAACCTCCTCTAGATGATTTCAAATTACTCTCCCTTTGAAATATTGAAAAGTATGCTCAATCTTTATCAATTGATATATAATTTGAAAGGATCCCATCAATCAAGACATCCAAAATCTTTCAAAAAGATCTCTCGAATTTCTGATGCATGTATTGTAGTTTCTTATTAAATGTTAATGGGGGTAATGTAAGAGTTTGAATAGAATTTAAGAATGACTTCATTAATGTTTTACTCTTGAGACTCACAGTGAGATCGACGTTACCAACTTTCACAGCACAAGAAGATGGTGGAAGATGTGATGGTGTTGAACTGGGAACTGTTCATGGCAAGCCTATGAGGCTCCATTAAAATCCAAATTCTGCTCTTTCCAATGATATAATGATGTAGGTGCACACATCTAATATCTTTAATTTGGAAAAAGAAAATCAAAAGTCATCTTCGTATTGGTTGGACAATAAGTGCAATCTTGTAAGGTTTAGCCATAACTTCCTCTAGAAAGACTCGACTGACTCCATTTGAAGCTTTAGAATGAAGACCTAGTTCTTCCAATGATTTATAACTTACATGGAGTTCAATACTTGCGAAGATTCTTGGCGGAAGATTTATCAGACTGGTTATCTATTTTTTGTTTGTGGTTAATTATCTTATTAAATATTTATGAGGTAAACCAGTGGGAGTCAGGTTAATAGGCAAAGAGTCGCATGTAATTAATGTTTCACTCTTAGACTCGTAAGGTGATACCAACTGATATCAGGTTCACATCACAAGCAGATGGTGGAACATAATATGGAGATGCGATAGTGCTGACCAGTATGGGTAAAATCGAATTATCCAATAGTTCAGTTATTAATTGTCTAGGTATCTATTCAATTTTAATTAGGAGTTCATTCTAGACGAATGAAATAATTTTTATATTTGGATATTAAATGAACCAAATATAATTGTTTGTATACGTGGGTTCATTTGTTTATCAAATATTCATTTAAATTTTTGATCTCTTATACCTTGTGTTATTACTGTATAGTGTTATGTTTTGATTCTCCTTATATTTCTGTAGTTTATGTTCTATTTTAGTTTTGAGACTTTATAAGAGTCTACAATCAATTTCTTAATGAAAATTTCAAATAAAAGATTTATACATCATAATCATAAAAGAATGGCTTCCGCTATAAATTTAAATGCTATTTTAAAAATCAAATTCTTCAGCCAAATAAAAATCTCTTTAGCCAATAAACATCTCTTTAGTTATGAGTAAAACATTGAAAGTTGTGCATGATATTTAGCTAGTATGAAGATTGCACTGTCTTTATCCAAATTAAGATACTAGAACTGTGCACTGATTCATTTCCATTTTTCAAGCAACACAAACCCGTATCCTCTTCACTATCAAAATTGATAGCTAAACTTTTACTCCAATCACAATTAGCTAATGTGCAGACAGCCTCCATTCATTTCAACTGCCATTCATATCAGTTCTAACACATCATATATGTTGTGATTTCCTCTTATTTCTTTTTCAAAGTCAAAGACAAATTACATTCGGTCACTAAATTACATGAGGTTGTTATTAAAATAGAAGTGGTATGTTTGCTTTCTTTTTTGGATAACGTAGAGGTTCCAAATCTGTCACTAGTGGCTACAACCGTCAAAAACCCTAAGATCATTGAACTAACTTATTGGCCATACTAGGGACCTTAACATTTTTAAATAAAATTTTTAGGGGTTTTCAGATATTAGTTCCTCATAGCTTTCATATTTTAAAATTACTCTCCCAAAATATTCATATTTTGAGATTAGTCCTGAGTCTTTTAAGTGTTTGAACTTGCTCCCTGTATTGTCCATGGTTGGGTTGGTGGTTAACTAGGGACATGTAGTTACCAAATTACCCTCATGAAATAAATCACCCACCAACTTCAGTTCCCCTCTCGCCATCTCTCATTTCTCACTTCAAATTTGAGAATGAGGAACTACTTTTCTGAAATCAACATGTAAATCAACCGAAATGTTTGAACGCCTAAGGGTGTAACCATTATTGCGCCAAAAATTGTTAAAGATGGGAGAATATTCCCTCAATTTTAACCTCCGCTGCTGGCCAGAAGAACTAATATGAAAACACCTAAAATATTTGGGGGACTAATTTAAAAATACTTAGATTTGGGGGCTATTTTGAAAATATGGAAGATTTGTTGGACTAGAATTGAAAACATCCTAGATTTTAATGGATTAAGTTTATAATAATACTGGCATCAAGCATCTCAAAAAAAAAGTCTGCCTTTTTTGATGAATTACCTTTGATCCGCTGGAGTATTCATAGCTGGTCATGGAGATACATGTTGGGAGAATGTTATCATCTCACAAAGAACAACCTATGACAAGAACATAAAATGGAACATTTGATTTTAACTAGAATTCCTTGTTGGTTAATTGGAATTCAAATCCGTCTATTATAAAAAAAATTAATAAAATGACCATCATTTAGTTAGCAATGATAGCATGATATTCAAAGAAGTGGACTTGGAGTAGGGTAAACCTTAAAAAAACGGATTGGGAGTCTTGGACATTATGGAATGAGATGGTGATTGTTATTTTTGAACAGTGGAGGTGATTGAAACTGAAGGAAGAAACAAATTCCATGTATAAACAGCTATACTCTGAAAATTAGGCTCTGTTGTTGTTTGGTATAGTTTTGATTAGCTTGTACTTGTCCCATTGTTTCCTTGTTCCTGTAATAATGATAACGATAATAATGATATTCAACCTGCAAGCGTCAATTTATATGATTTCTGACTCTAGCTTGGACAATTTTGAAACTGTAACTGATAGAATTGACCTTAGGAGATAATGGGCCGTGGAGTCAGCAGTGGAGGAGGGGCAGAGTTCCCTTGGGTACCTTTTTAGTGATGCCGTAGCACCAAAAGCTGCACCTGAGAAACCTGTTGAGAAGCCTGCCCCTCCACCAGAACAAAAGCTTAAGGAGATACCAGCAGGCATTCCAGGGGGTTCGAGAAATAATTATTTCCGAGCTGAAGGCCAGAACACTGGCAATTTCATCATGGTATTTGACACTGGCAATTTCATCCCCCTTTTGTTTTGTCATACGATAAAATATTACTGCATGCTTTGACTTCGGTTCTCAATGGACGTTGGATTCATCAGACTACAACTCAATTATTCAGATATACTTTCTTAAGCATGAACCACATGAAAAAAATCTCCTTTACTGATTTAGTTGTCCTTGAGAGCATATATTCTTCTTTTGATTGTATGCAAGTCCTCCATTTCTCTTTGCTCTGAAAATACGTTGCATATTTTATTACTAAATATAAATAGGAAACTTAATGTCATGAGTTGATTCACACCCAACTCCTTGCAACCCCCATTTGAAAATGTGTGCATCAGATTATGTGTCACAGTATCACAAGCGTTCTCAAAATGATGTCATTGTTGTTAGGTGCTTGTTTGACTGGCGTGTTGTCTCTTAGATGTGGAACGGTCAGCGTGTTCTTGTTTTCATCAGTTGTATCTATTCTTCTTAACCCAAAAAAAAAGAGATTTAGAAAGGGGTAAATTTCACAAAATGACAATGAACTTCGGGGGATTTTGTGCAAACTATCATACCTTGTTTATTAGAGAATACTACTATGAACTTTCAAAACTGCAGAAAATATGAACTATTGAAAATTGTTGTTAATGATGGGATAAAAGGTTTAAGCTACTTATCTATCAAGCTATGTAGCACGGACACGGATCCGACACGGCCATCCGACACGTCGACACGAGGCAAATCCTAAAAAATTCATAGGATATGTGTGTTCGACATGTGTGTCCGACACAGACATGACACGACACGGCTTCATGTTATGCGTGTCCGTGCTTCATAGCTATCAAGTCACAAAGCGCACAAGGGTAGTCTAGAAGATAAATAAGGTACAGGAGGACAAATTATCATGAAAACGTCATGTGAAGCACGTGACGGCTTAACCAAAACTGCCGGTCAGTTCATGGTATTTTGCTTTTTTCGTTTCTGATATATTGTCTACTCTTCTGTAGGACCAACCTTCAACGAAGGTGACTCTGCCCCTGGAGGTGGTTCCTCCCTTGGCTACCTCTTTGGGGATGGTGATTGTGATGCTGCTGTGTGGATTGCCTGAGCAATTCTTTTGCGAACCAAGAAAAAAAGAACAAAAAAAGAAATTATCGTTGTTTTAAGTGTGTTCATGAAAGTAACTGATTAGTTGTGGAAGGAAGAATATCTGATTATATATTACATAGCTTTATGATGTAATTTGCTGGTGGGAGGGAGGCTTAAACAGTCATCCTGGATTTGTAGACTGTTGCTTTTCCAGTTTCATGTTTCCTTGATCAAGTTTAATCATAACCTGTTTCTTTCTGTATTTTCCTTTGCCCTGTAAATGCAAATATGGTTCCCTATTCTGGTCTTATACATTGTTGTGGTTGCTTCATGCAAGTAGTGAACTATTTGGTGATTCATGAGGCAATTTTTCACTTGGGGCCTATTTGGATGACAGGAAATCAAAAGTAAGAAGTAGATTAAAGATGTAATATAAGATTTTTATTGAAATAAGTATAGTAATTTTTGTTTGTTTCACATATGTTCTAAAGTTGTATAAATAATATTTCTTCCTTTTTATTTACGTGTTATCTTTATTTACTTGTTTCCTTTGGTTAGTGAGTGAAAATGTCATTAAATAGAGAGATTAAGGATCTTTCCATATTTTATTTAGAATGAGCGATATTCATGTAAAAAAACTAATTTTATTTCTAAATGATGCATATTTAGCTACTTCTGGGGTATTTTCGAGCCTCGAAGGACGGAAATTTTTTTAAGTAGGATGCCATATATACACCAGGTCATTATTTCCATCAGAAATTGTTTTTCTAGAGAAACATGTAAATTTTTTGCTCGGAAGTAGACGTAGCATCTTTTTCCTATATTTCTCTTATTTTACATCTACTTACATGCCAACAAATACAGCATCATTTGTACATTATATCCGTGTCTGAAATCATTTTGTATGCCCTTGTTGACACTTGTAATCTCTGAGCGGATGAGTAAAGTTTAGATCAAAATTGTAAATTGTGGTTCATTTAAACTTTCCTTTGAAGTTTTAAGCCAGTATAAACATATTTTATTGTGTCTGAAACCATTTTGTACAACCTTGTTGACACTTGTAATCTCTGAGCGGACGAGGAAAGTTTAGATCAAAATTGAAAATTGGGGTTCATTTTAAGTTTCCTCTGAAGTTCTAAGTCAGTATAAACAAGACGTTTTTATTATAGTTTAGATCGGATCCTAGGTTCTCAGATTGGGCTACTGTGACTCAGATTGGGCTAGCTGCGGAGATGATCGGAGGTCTACCTCAGGGTATTGCATATTTGTAGGAGGCAACTTAGTCTCCTAGAAAAGCAAGAAGCAATCTGTGGTGACAAGATCAACAGCTGAAGCTGAGTACAGAGCCATGGCCTTGGGGGTTGCGGAGCTGATGTGGCTGAAAAACATGCTGGTGGAGCTGAACCTTGACCAAGGGGCTAAGATGAGTTTGTGGTGCGACAACAAGTCAGCTATCAGCATCGCCAACAACCCAGTTCAACATGACAGAACTAAGCTCATCGAAATTGATAGATTCTTCATCCAGAAGAAGCTGAACAGTGGGCTACTGGAGTTAGGCTATGTTCCAACTAAGGAGCAGCTGCTGACTGCTTGACTAAATGGCTTAGCTCAGTAGATTTAGCTAGAGGGTGTGACAAGATGGGCTTAATAGATATCTTTCGCCCATCTTGAGGAGGAGTGTTGAGAATGGAACACAATTAAAGGGCTTTTAGAGGACCTTTGTGTAAACCTGTTATGTAAGGCTATATAAGCCAACATTCTATCAATGAGAACTTAAGAGAAAAACCCTAATATTCCAAGAACTAGCAAGGCTGTAAGTAAGTGAAAAATACTTTGACAGAGAAGGGAATGGCACTAGATTAACAATATTCATATTTGTGTACAGGTATATACCTTTTATTTGCTTTTGAATTAGAGTGCATATACCTAATATAGTTGAGATTACATGTCTATAAATATATATTAAGGAAATTTCACAGGTGATCTTGGCTATGAGGTCTCTCATTGGTTCTTTGCTTGATGCTTCTCTTTTCAAGATCATATATATCCACATACATGTGGATGCAAAATGGATATGAGAAAATGGAATAATAGCCACACAAAAAAAAAGTTAGCCCGTGCGATACAAGAGAGTTCATTAATATGTTTGTTATATTTGAAAAGCAAAGATTGGATCTATTAGTTATCAAAATTAGTCTCCAATTCATTAATCTAAGAAGTGAAATAATTACAGCTATATGATCCACATATATTCGGATTTTCGGATATGAATCTGAATAATTCACTACATAACCATATCCAAAAATCATATTCTATATGTTATAGATTTGAATAACCATATCCGTATATCCGTAAATCTGTTATATATTTGAGTAACCATAACGGATATGGATACGGATATGGCTTTGCACCCCTGATGTTAAGACCTGATACTGTACCACACAATTGACATTGAAACTATAGCTGGCAACGGATCCTGGTTTCACCCTCGGTTGCAAGGAGGCAAAGCAACAGTGACTTCAACGACTAAAAAACTCAGGGGAGTAATATATCTGACTTGCTAACTAACTTCTGAGCGCATAGCCCAGAAACAGATATATTGGCTAATATAACCTGGAACCACATGACCTTAAAGTAACCATCAATGACGTCAAGTAACCATTCATCTGTCTTGCTCCCCTTCCCACAAGAGATTAAATCTAAACGTTCACCGAATCAAACCAAACCAAACCACATCGAAGTTAAAATCATTGTGAATGGTTATTAGCTAGAATTTTCAAGCAGAGACTCGAAGTAGCTACAAAGAAGTACCCGCAAGAGTTGGCTGGTGATGGTTACTGGCCTTTCAAAGGAATACGGGGAAGGGGGAAATTCAAGGGTTCCCTCAGAGCATATGGGGGTCCCAGGGGAGTGACATGGATCTTCCTGACCCTATATTTCTAGAACTTGCATGCAGTTGCTAAGTTTACATGGATATGAATTATTATGTTGAATGGGTACTCGAATAAAGTTGTGCCGATATCTGTTACACGTTCAGTACGTGGATATTATAGCGCTTGATTGATCACCGTCTCCAGTAGGACACTTTTTTTAACTCATCGTGGAACTATAACATGTCCCAGAAGTAATGAAGGCATGTCAAAGATATATCCAACAACGAGAAGTTAAAAGTCTAATGCATGATTAAATGGTCTTATAATACTAATTAGGGAAAATTGTTTCCCCTTAAGAATTTTAATCAATGTGTCCCCCCCCAAGTTGACTAGTCAAGGGGGAAAAACCATCTAGATATTTAAAAAAATTGAATCTATACCCTTATATTCCTCAATAAATATTTGTCCTTTCTCCCTTTTCTCCTCTGTTCTTTGAACTTTATTTCTCTCTTTTCTCTTTCCTTTCCTCTTCATCTCTTTTCCCCACCCTTGCCCGCTTCCCCTCAGCACCATCTCCACGAGCGCTCCAGTGCCTTAACTAGTGCACTCTGAAAAGGGTATTTTTTTTTAGAAACTTGGGCGACACATAAATTTCATTTCTGAAAGGGGCCGAAGCATTTTTTTTCCTTATAATATTTTGGAACAATATCCATAATATTTGTGCGCATTGTTAGTATTAAATTATGATCGTTCAAATTATGTTCGGTAATCATGTTTTGACCCCTTACATAACCCTTCAAATTACGTTATCAATAACATTAACACACATGAATCCATGTAGAACTTTGTTATATCATGGTATATTTATATCCTAAACTGTGTAACTGCATACCCGTATTATATGACTCGTATACAATTTATACAGGTCGATCTCACTGTTGATGTTAGTGTTACAGTAGAACACTTTTATCTGTAGCTACACTGCTGGATACACTTAATTGAAAACAATATAGGCCATTTTCAAATGACCATATTCATCATGAACATATACTGACAGCACCAGTATGGTTTAACTTTTGCATGAGTAGGTCTAATTACATCTGTCATCTAAAGTTCTAAACAATAAAATGGCCTCACATTTTGGAAGATGATCGACTATCATTCAGTAGAAAACCACAAAATTAGCAAAGCCACAGATCATAGGTCTAATAATATGGTCTAAATATTTGAGAGAATGGATCACAATAACTGCAGATTATATGTAAAATCTATCAAATTACATATCACTAGAAATTCAGTATATTCACTAGCAATTTGAAAGTACCATAATCATGTCTTTCTTCTATTGCTTCCATCTTCATTGCAGATTGATGTGGAAGAGAGCAGCACACCACGGAACAATTTATCATTCACCATTGTTTCTATTGAGTAGCTATGCTGATTTTCTTCTACAATTCTAGCTTCAAATGGTACCTCTCCAGTTGATCCGGAATCACCTGAGACAGCACCAGTTACATAACCAGGATATTTAACACGATGATGAAGAAACGGCAAAGAAATTTGGTGAAGAACAGGTTTTGGAAGTGCACGAGTCAGTTTTGGAGTTTGTCGGTCGACCGCGGTGCAAGGCCGGTCGATTGAATTCGTGCACGGAAAGGAGAACTGATTCTAGGTTTGGTGCGGTCGACAGCCCAAACCCTGTAATTGATTTTTGACTCTGTCATTGGTGCGGTCGACCGCTAGACCCTGTAATGATTTTTCGGTTCTGTCGTTTGATCGTGATCGACCGCGAGTCTTGGGGCGGTCGACCGTCAGTCGGGCCAGGCCCAGTTATTGGATTACTGTTCTATTTGGGACTGTTGTTTGATATAAATATCAAACACATTTTAGGGTTTCTTAAGGCTTGTTGTGAGGATATTTGGAGCATAGAAAAGAGGTATTTTCTGGAGCTATGGGTTAGGGTTTTGTTTGGAGAGATTAAGAGCTTTGTTGGTGAGATTAATTGGTGAGTTTGAGTGATTTGTAATCTCAGTTTGTACTCTTCTTCTCTATTAGTGAAAACCCCATCACCTTCTTGCCCCGTGGACGTAGGCATCTTGCCGAACCACGTAAAAATTGGTTGTTTGTGTTTGTGATATTATTTTGGTTTGTTTGGCCTTCTCTCGTTTGGTTTGGTTCCTCGAAGCACATCGTTTGTGGCTTCCGCGCGCACAACAAGTGGTATTAGAGCTCGGGCTACGCTTGGGCTATTTGGGGGAGTAGATCACTTTGGAAGTTCGTCCAGGGCTTCGTTTGGTGATAAAAGTAGGATTTTTACTATTTTTGGATCTCGTTTCCGTCGTGTGGGGGTGAGGTATTTCGGAGGCCCTTGTTAGGGTTTCAGTTGGAGGTAAAAATCTCTCTTTTTCAGTTTGGATCTATTCTTC